CCCCAGAAACATTGATTAAAAATGGCCTCTACCTAGGCTGTTTAACAGTAATAATAGGTATTCTTCCAGCTAATAATACTGTCACCCAATGTCTAATTTTCAGAAGAAAGAGCAAAGAGGCTTTTAGTGATAGTCCCACAAACCAAAGAGTAATTGCTTTGTCATTCAGTCTACGTGTCTTGTCATTCTTTGGGTTTTATATAACCACTTTTGTTGCAGGGTCTCTGGTATTTAAGGACTCTAGTCAATTCTCTTAAATCTAGCCTGTGAGGTTCTGAGTGCTGGTGTGAACTGCTACCTACCTTCAGTAGCCACTGACAGGGGAGCTGAGGCTGTTTAGCACTTTACACAACTCTGAGGCTTGAAGTCCAGCTTGAGTTTTGGCCTGAAAATAAATACTTTTCTTAGTTACTTAACAACCATAAATTGCAATTTTAGTTGTAATGGAAAGAAAATCCCATAAGAACAACTGATTCATACTGAGTTCTTGTTTTTTTTTTTTTTAATTTACTGATCTCAAATCATTCTGTTTTAGAGGGAAAACCAATGAAATCTGACACAGTTTACAATATAACGTTTAGATTAGATTTATGCCCATTATGGGTTACTTCTATAAATAATGGTGACTGCACTCGTTAAGGTTTTGTACAATAAGCCTAATGCTGTGCCCTTCAGTAAGGCTTTCACCGACTTTAATAGAAATACAAGTGGCAAAGATCTCTTAGGTATTTGGGATTCCATGTGTATTCAGCAGAAATTACATGACTTTTTTTTTTTTTTTAACATACAGTAAATGCATGTTACTCCTGTTGACAGTTCTGCTAACAATGCCAGTGGACACATCCTGTAATTAAAAAAAATATTCAAAACCCAGAAAAATAACAGAATCTGCCATTTTCTCCAATGTTATCCAGGGAGAGGATGGGGAAAGATCAGCATGTGTTGTCAGCATTAAAAACAATGAAAATTTTTGTTTGCTGGGACAGACTTATTTCTTGTCTTGCTGAGCTGAGACTTCTTTGCAAATCTTTTTTTTCCCTTTAAGAAAGCTCTGTTTGTACTTTATGAAGGAGTTCATGGTTTATGAACGAAAATATGTTTTCACAAGGGAGCCTATGCGCATCAAACTTTGTTATGAAAACTGATTATGTTGCAGATTAAAAGCTGTCTTTTATGGGAGAGAGACTATCATGGGGGGGAAAAGGTCATATATACTCAAGTGAAACAAGTTTGAAATATGGTTTTAGCTATTTTGATAGATACTGCATACTCTATAGTATTTTATAAATACTTTAAAGCAGTTAAATAATTAGTGAAGAGATGTCATACCATGAAAAGGGATTGCAATAGTTTTTCCTTTTCATTGTTTATCTTCAACAGAAAATTTTGTGTTTGTTTTTTTTTCCGCCCCCGCCAAGTGAAATTATTTTTCCTAACTTGCCAACTTTGAAAATTCAGCTTTGGATCTGAATACCAGATCTTGCTCTATGGGTTGCTCAAAATCCACAGCAGTAAAGAAGCTATAGTTACATCCTCATTCCAATTCAAGTATATATTTCTTGGGCACAGGTGTCTCTGTTCTGGACAACACTTCCTCATGTGCAGCAAGGGAAGTTTAGGGTAGATATTAGGAAGAATTTTCTCACTAGGAGGGTAGTAAAACACTGGAACGGGTTACCCAGAGAGGTTGTGGAATCTCTATCCTTGGAGGTTTTTAAGACCCGGCTAGACAAAGCTTTAGCTGGGAAGATCTAGTTGGGGATGGTCCTGTTCTGAGCAGGGGTTTGGACTAGAAGACTTCCTGAGGTCCCTTTCAACCCTATAGATCTTTAGAAGGAGACTGGATGCACACCTTACTGGAGTTATTTAACCCCAGCAGTCTTTGCTGCCCAGAGCAGGGGTGGCTGGACCTAACGATCTCACAAGGTCCCTTCCAGCCCTAAGCTTCTATGAGTCTGTGAACCCTCGTTTTCTATGTTTCTTTGTGCTTAAATTCCATTGGCATACATTTAAACACATGCTGTCCTAATTAAAGATGCTTTCTGAAGTTGGGAACCCTAGTTCTTTTGATGGATGAGCTGGAACAGAATCCAGTTCAAGCTCCTATATCTATGGTAGCAGTGCAACCTGATCTCACAAAAATACTAAAGAAAACCACCAACATTTTACCTTAAAGAGAGACTCTATCATTTTGGACACGTGCAGGAAATAGTTCTGCTGTGCAGGGATGTGTCATTTTTCTGACTCTGACTATACACACATTTGCTGAATGTTCTGGTACTCTGGGTTTTAAAGTTATGCTGATAGTGAGGAGTGTTTTTCATTCATATTAAAGATAGAGGGGCAAACTACAGTCCCCAAAACTAGACCACTCAAAAGTAATGTAATGCCATGGGAATGTGCCTATGAGGACAGACACAAGTATACTTAAAACAGTTGAATCATCTGGATAACAGAAAAAGGAGGTGGCATCTGCTTCTATCAGTCATCCCTAGTAAAAAAAGTTTGGAGTTTATAGACAAGTCTCAGAGTTGCTGAGAGAAGCTGAGATAAGCTAAAGGAAGCTTGCCCTGTGAAATAGGCTGGTTGGGGCCCTTTATCAAAGCAGCAGAGAAAGGATGGCCCCCTACAATACTGCTTCTCAAACTTGCAGCCACTGGTAATGTGTTGTTTTATTTTTTTTACTATGTACATCAAAAGACTAACCATAACATCTGACTTTTAAATGTAACAAGTTTGGGGAAAATTTACAGTAATAATATGGAGGTAACACCAGTTTCTGAAATAAAATGCTCTTATTTTTTTCTGTGCTACAAAGAGGGTGTGTCTACATGAGATGCTTTACTGCTCAGCAGATTAATTTGTTGTACAGTAAAGCATCACCATCTATATGTGCATGGCAGCTAGGGTGCAGTGAACTAATTTACTGGGCTGCCAAATAGTCCCGTCAGATAAAAGTGGAATCTGGCAGCACAGAAAATTACTGTGCTTAAATACACATGCTGACAGTGATGTTGGGATTAGTTTACTCTAGCTCAAATTGACCCAGAGTATAGTCAGTTGCATTAAATGCACATGTAGATGTGCCCAGTGAAATCAATTTAGATCAGTGTCTGCTTTTGTTGAGACTCCCACTAAAGACTGCTATGCATGAATCAAGAAATCCTCTAGTTTTTGCAATATGTAGAATTAGATAATAAAAGTCTGTATGGCTCCTGGCACAATTTTAGTCCTCTTACGGGGTATTTTCATCTCTTCATCTATATAACAGATGCATTTAACCAAGCAGTTGCAGGCAGTTTACAATGCTTCTCTAAACAAGCCAGTGTCCGTAGTTCAAGCCATCACAGAAAAACTTCCCTGTTTTAGAATCTCTTCTCTTCACTCAGACTGTCAAGACTTGTTCCAGCAAATGACATTGTATGCTTGCTGTGTCAGAACCTTCAATGGCTTAGCTTCCATTTGCAGAGCTGATTTGCCTCGCTGAATCAGAGCTCTCATTTTTTAGTTGCATTGTGATCAACAGATTAGGATCTAGAGCTACAAACCTTTTTTTTTTTTATTCATTTTTTTTTCTGACATATCCAAACTTGCAAACATCATTACAAAGTGCTGCTAACAGTAGTGCACATCTTAATTAATAGGTGTACACTGAGTTATAGGCATGATAAAACTTAGTACAAACACTATAAGCTGTAATAAAAATATTTTCATCTTAAATTTCTGTTTGGGTAGCACTTACTGCTGAATGTGAGGTCTGAGATGTTTTCTTCACTGTAGATGCCCTGGAGAAATATAGTTTCTCTTCAATGGAAAGATCTCTGTTCCTCATAGAAACCGGCATTGGCGTTTTATTAAACAAAAATTGCTTTGAGTATTTTTTCCCCGTCTTCTACAATGCAGCATTACTGCTCATTCCGTCTCTTAGTTCCATCTAGCAGAGAATAAAGGACGACTTTGTTTAATGAGTTGTATTGGAGAAACACTCTGTTAGTGAGGCAACTCAGAGAGATTATAGGAAAAACACACGCAAACCCTTAGTCCTAAATACATAACGATATCCAGATCCCATGATGAAAATAACAAAAATTGGTACATGCAGGAAAATCTTTAAACTAGGAAGTTTAGAGATGTGTATTAAAAGGAGAGTTTAGAATAGGTTTAATGGAACAGAGATAAAATAAAGGAGTATTACATCATAGATAATTTTATAAAGAATTTGCATTTCCTAGTAAGTTTTCAGTGCATTTGAATTAAATGCTTGAAAACTAGCGCACAGTTCTGTGCGACTTATAGGTTTTACATACCTCTCATTAATAACTTTTAGCTCTCTCTAGAACTTCTTTTGGTGGGTTGTCATTCCATGAATTCAGATAAACGACTGGAGAAGGAAAGCATAGTAAGGAGGTTTATATAGTGAATGCAGAGAACAGTGGCAAAATGGCCTGAACAAATCAGTGCAGCAAAGAAGGTACACTCAAGAAGAAAACCTTGCTGATTCTACAATGAAATAAATACAGGTTATCCATATAATTTCAGTGCTTGTTTGTGTCATGAGATTTTTAGAGAGCTTAAAGTAATTTTTCATTCTCAGTGGTTAAAAAAGAACATCAGGGGCTGTGTCATAACCTAAGATGCTTTCTATTGCAGTGAAGGTTTATAAAGTATTACTCAAAGGTTGGACCATAATATTATCATTACTCTATAACTTGGAAGTTGGCACAGCTTCTGTTGAAGCGCTGGCTCTCACCTTCATAGAGGCAAGGCACCCCTCCCCAGCTTTTTTCAATTTGGTGGCATCCTTGGTCGAGAACCACTGTTGCGGTGCCTTGGCTTACCTCAGTGGTTCTCAGCCATGTGCCACTACCTCCAGGTAAAAGTACTCTATGTGCCTAGTGTACAGCCAAACTGGGAAGTGCTGCAGCATGTGTGTGCTGTCCTGGCTCATTAGCTAGTTCTGTGATGGGCCCAGAGCAGGCAGGAGAGCTGTATGCCACAGCACTTCTCTGCATGGTGTGGCCCAGTAACAGAGGCATATGAGGTCTGCTTGCTTTAGGCTCATCAGAGCACCCTAATGAGGCAGGGTGTTTCTATGTGCACATGCTATAGCCCTCCCTCATATGGCTGTGGACAAGGCACAGGAGGCCCTTTTTACCTGTCTCTGCCCATTGTGGATCCCCAGTTGAGAAACCACTGTATTAGAGTATGAGCTATCGTGAAAACTCAGCACATATTGATCCATAAATCAGTGACCTACTTATGCTTAAGATTTAATTAAAGCTGGACCATTTTGTTTCTTGATTGTCTAGATGTATTGTTGTCTTTTTGTATTATTCCTAATAAACCCAGTTTTAAATGTTTTGGGATGAGTTACAGCATATATCAAAATGCATCGACCTACTTGAGAAAGGCTTTGTGTTATGCTACTGTCTTAGGGAGAAATCAGGGGAAGTTAAGTTCCAGAAGGCAGAAGAGGGACAAAAAACTGTTTTTCTGGGCTGAGCCTGTTCTTGACCACATTGATGTCAGTGGAGTCACATGAATACAGAGCTGGTGTTACAGCTTAGCAAAGATCCTTGGTGTTAGAGGGATGTCACAGCTGGGAGTTGCCATGGCTGGACATGAATGACACCTCTGTATTGGAACATGTCTAGTTTTGAGAAACTTGGATAGTTCCTAAATATTTAGCTGGCGTCTAGCTGTGCGGTAGACCAATTTAAAAAAAAAAAACAACCCAAACTTAGAGGAAAGTTGACTTGCTGGCTTATATAGAGTGGGGGCAGTTCATTCTAGCCAAGTTTTAATAAATTTTGCCTACATTTCTGTTTATGGTTGAGCAAACTGAATGCTCTGAAAGGGTTTTCTAAGGTCACGGTTAACACTGCTGTGCTTCAAGATATGCGTTGCCCATCGTGTGATTGGTGGTGCTTGCCCTTGCCCTAAGTGGCAGAATAGTGCAAACTCTCTGTTCCTTTTTTGCTTTCATTTGTTTTTATCAGGAAAGTAATACATAGACCTAAGCTACATGTTGTGCTTGTGACCTCTAAGTTATGGTAGGAACAGGCTCTCTGTTGAGTTAGAAGCACTCTTAAGGAGCTAGGGATGCTCGTAAATGGCTTTAATCTTGTTAATAACGATTACTTTTATTTCAGCCAACCATTTTTAGCTTTTATTACCATTATAATTTATTTGTGGTACGATTAGTAATTATTTCTCTTACTGTAACACTTGGAAAATAAGAAAAAAGACAATAATATCAAGAAATAAGGTAGTGCATTCTAAGTGCACTTGTGTACACTATACTGGTTTTCATAATTCCAGCCTTTTAAAAATATGCACAAAACAAGGAACAGGATAATAATGTATGTCATTTTAAAGGAGTGTCCAATTACAAGGAAAAGGCGTTTTTCGATATCTGTTGCCATAGTAACGAGGCAGCTTTCCTGGGGTTCCAAAGAAAACGGTGACTGTAATGGAGCGAATGCTGAAAAGTGCTTTGTTTTTTCCAAAGCAGAAAAAATATTGTTGATTAGCCTTAAGATCCTAAATGTACTCCCTGTGTAAAGAGCCAATTTTCTCCTAAATTGGAACTTGCATCTTTCCCACCTCCCCACTCCCGAAATTGTCTAGTCTGGTTTATGTCCTAAATTCAGTTTTAAGCAGGCACCTAATTTGAGCCCTCACTAAATCTATTTAGATAGCTGATGATGCATATAAAGCAGGTATTGGAGTATGCAAAAAAGACACTTGCATGTCTAGGTTATTGTTGCATGCACATTTTTTGGCTGAAGCATGAAGTCTTGGGACCAGTTACACCAGAGGTGAGCAAAATGCGGCCCAGGGGCCAGATACGACTCACCAAGCCATTCTATCTGGCCTGCGGAGCCCCTAAAAAGTTCAGAAAATTAATAATCTTCCCTGGGCTGCCTGTCATGCGGCCCTCAGTGGCTCGCCAAAACTCAGTAAGTGGTCCTCTGCCGAAAATAATTGCCCGGCCCTGAGTTACACTGTTGGGAATTTTAAAGGGAAAAAAATCTTGAGCAATGAATTCTTTTCTGAATGTGGAGTTGTATATTTATATAAAAATAACTGCCAGCTCAGGTAGTCTCTGACATAGGCCTGTATTAGGTACTACAGAAACAGATGTAAAACATATATGGCTCCCCGTTCTCTGCAGAGAGCACCTAGGCACTCATAGTGACTCAAGTGACTGGTAGATCGATTTTTAGAGGCACCTAAGTCTCCCCATAGACTGTACAGTATAGGGATCCTAGATGCCTTAAAGCAGTCAGACTTGCCTCGCCTCACAAGTCAAATCCTAGACTTAAGCATGTGAATACCTAGATGCATGTGCCTCTGAGACTGAACTGGATTTGGACATTAGTGCCTAGAGGCCCCAGTGAAGATTAGGGCTCTATTTGCTGTCTTGTGTGGGTTCATGATTGTCTGTTTCTTGAATATTCATAGATTCATAGATTTAGGGTCGGAAGGGACCTAGTAGATCTTCTAGCCCGACCCCCCGCCAGGGCGGGAGAACAACAAAACCCCAAAACAAGAAACGGGACTCAAATGAGTCCAGCCAGGTAGGCATCCAGCCTCTTCTTAAAGACCCCCAGGGTAGGGGCCAGCACCACTTCCCTTGGAAGTTGGTTCCAGCTCCTAGCCGCCCTAACTGTGAAGTAGTTCTTGCGGATGTCCAATCTATACCTCCTCTCCATCAACTTGTGCCCATTACTCCTTGTTATGCCAGCGGGCGCTAGGGGAAACAGCGTCTCCCCCAAACCCTTCTGGTCCCCCCTAGTGAGTTTATAGACGGTCACCAGGTCCCCCCTCAGCCTTCTCTTGTGGAGGCTGAATAGGTTCAGGTCCCGCAGTCTCTCACTGTAGGGTCTGCCCTGTTGTCCCCGGATCATGCGGGTGGCCCTCCTCTGGACCCTCTCCATGTTGTCCACATCCCTCTTGAAATGGGGCGCACAGAACTGGACACAATACTCCAGCTGTGGCCTGACCAGCGTCGCATAGAGGGGGAGGGTCACCTCCTTGGCTCTACTTGAGATGCACCTGTGGATGCACGATAAGGTCCGGTTAGCCCTGCCAACCATGACCTCGCATTGTCGGCCCATGTTCATCTTGGAGTCAATAATGACTCCAAGATCTCTTTCTGCCTCCGTGCTCTCAAGTAGGGAGTTCCCCATTGTGTAAGTGTGCTGCTGGTTCCTACTGCCCAAGTGCAGCACCCTGCACTTGTCCGTATTGAATAGAAATATAAATAGAAAAGATGGATAAAAGGTATAAGTAGAAATGGAGACAATGAAAAAGTGGTGTGACCTACTCAAGATAACCGCCACTAATGTCGGTGGAATAAATAGACCCAGTGTGTCACAGGTGATGCTATTACTCCATTGGTGCGCACACTAAATAAATAGGCAAGGTTCAAGATTTTGAGTAGTGTCCTTAGCCTGCTTAGTCTGTGGCAACAATTACCATTAGAAATCTTTCTAAATACACAAACAGTTAAACACAGTTAAAGTATTAGAAATATAAAGCAGTGAATGTGTTCCAGTTTAATGATCCCCATTTCCTTTCTTTTTTAGCTGTACAGGGCTTTTTTGTGGAAAACTGTTTTTTTTTCTTTTTAATATTAAAGATGTTGTTAGTGGTCCATTTTGAGGAAGAGTGGGGAAAAATTTAGTTGAGATGGTTTGGACCTGTTGTTTGTTTTTAAAACATGTGCACATGTGCACACTAATATAGTCTTTTACTTCTAAACAAGTTTATGTGATGGTTTGAGCTACGCCTTTGATATCTTGGACAACTTAGAGTGCAGGCCTCTGCACATCATCATATAGTAGGCTAGTGGGAGAGCCGGACTGGAATCCAAAGTGTCCATCCAGCATCTCATCCCAGGTTACATCACAGAACTGCACTGCATTTTTCTATAATCCTCTGTGTTACCTTTTCCAGCTGTTACATCTTTTTGAAGTAGAGCAAGTAAAATTCAGTGGTGTTGAAGTTCCAGGCATAACACTGCCCATATTATGGAATTATATTTTCAGTGTTGTTTTATAACCTTTATCAGTCTGAAGTGTTATGTGACCCCGTGTTCCTAGCATAATTTTAATTGAGCTGTACTTGTTAATAGAGAATAAGTTAGCATTTGAAGAATTCAAATATTCCCTTTGGGTGTGCTTATCCTTGTATTTGTTTCCATTGTACTCTTGACTCAAATAATTTTGTGGCCTTACTGTCCACCCTTATTTGCAGAAAATTAATAGGCATAATACTAACGGAGATCTTTTGGTCCCTTGCTATTAACCTCTTTCAAGAACTAATTGACAAAACTTTATACCACAGAAAAAAAACCCGTTAAACAACATTTTACCTCATCCTTTTACTGCTTGAAGCTTGCCTACACACACACGTTGTATTTGGATTTGACTGGGATGTGCCAGTGCTTCTGCTGGGACCAAAACTAAGAGTCTTGCGTATCTGCTCAGGGTCAGACCAATTTTTGTCTTTGCGGTCAAGAAGGAACTTTATCCCATGGTCATATTGGTATGGACTGTGGCCCTCCACCCGAGATCTCTTGAGAGGTATATTGACAACGTTTCATAAAAGCAGGATGTTAGCAGCCGTGGTTCCCTTCTTTACCTGAAGCAGGTTAGGCTGCTACGTCTCTGCCATATTAGGGTTGCCTGTAGTCTTATGTAGAGTTTAGATTATGGTTTGTGTAGGATGGTTTGGATTGGGTTGATCCTGCCTCGGGCAGGGGGGTGGACTAAGTGACCTGTGGAGGTCCCTTCCAGTCCTACTTGTCTGTGATTCTATGATTGTTTTACATATGCCACCATAATTAAATAATAGAGTACCCCAAGTGTGGAAGCAGGCGTACTGATATGAAGATGCTCCTCCCATTTATGTGTTTTCTATATTAGAACAAGCTATTCTGTTATAAGGTACCTTTATAATAGTGTGATTTGGTCTTATACAACTCTCTTGGTCTCTCTTTGGTTCTCCTAACCAAAATTGTTACACCAGTCCAAAAGCTGTGTAGACCTGGCCCTTAGTTTCTTTAAATATTCTTGTTGTTGATTCTTAATGAGAATTGTAACAGGCTGCGGCACTGCTTTTTACAGAACCTGTTTGTATGTTCTGGTCACATCTTCCTCACCTGGTTATTTTATAAGTCTCATAAACATTTTATTCAGTGAATTTATATAATGTTGAAAAGAGACTATTTTTAAACCCCACTATTACATCTCATGGTTTCATTTTGTTTTGGTTTTCTTCTTCTTTTAAAGGCAAGTAAGGTGTACAATTGCCTGATTTGGAGTATGCTTTTAGTGAAAGATTAGGTGTTTTTACAGCTTGGCCTATTTGTTGTTAAAATATCATACTAACTCAGTACCATTTTTCAGCCTTGTCCTCCCCACAGGAGTGTGTTACATTTTATTGTGACATTTAATATGGCTTATTCTCTTGCTGTTATTTTTGTAACAAGCCACCAGTATGTTACTCAAGGATATATTAAAAGCAGCCTCTTTCTCCTGGTCTTACTGTGATCAATAAGAGACGAGTGGATTAATATGGAAAGGTAAATTTGTGAATACCCTTGAAGATTAAGGCAAGACATTTTGAGATGAAATTTCACACTGGAATTTTAATAATTAAAATGTGTTATTTCACTGTGATATCATTAACCATCTTTCAACCATTCATGCATCTTCCCTTATATTATGGCAAAAAGATATGAATCTCTCTCTGGCCCCTGCTATACATTACATATATTATGCAGTTATCTGGTCAATCACAGAATAAATTTAGACTGGCCACAAGTGCCAAGTAATTACCACACAATTAACCAGTTAATTCCACAATAAATTTAAGCCAGCCACATGTGCAAAGTAATTATTACACCATAAAAATGACTATCCAGCTACAAAGTTAGTGCTTGAAAATGGTTTCTACCCACCTTTAATTTGAACATGTAGCAGGGCCCTCTGATTCTCATCGCCTGATCCACTGGTATTGGAACAGTAAGAACATACAGTGGAAAAGAGAAAAAGGAAGAGGCTCCAGATATATACCCTAGGCCCTGATATCTCATATTTTGTATCCTTGTATAGGTGGATGTGGCAGTTGTGCATTTTACCCCTTTGGTGGAGCCAAAGATACAGCAGCCCTTTAAACTGGTGGAAAAGGTTGTTCGAAGTGTTTTCCAGTTCAGAAGAAAACACTGCTGGCGAGGAGTAGGGTAAGGAATGGCTTTTACAAAAATTTCTTTTTAGAACAATATTACTGTATTGTAGTAACAACTGCTGAGAGGACTAATAAATACATCCCTTGGAAAATATTTTTGAGTTTGTCCACTGTATACATTTGTTCTGCTCACAGTTCATCAGGTCCCAATAACGTTGCATTAATGCAAAAACATAGAAATTTGTCAGCTTCTTTAAAACAACTTGCTAATAGAGATTTTAAGAATATTAGTAAATGACCCAGATATGGCGTTGCCCAGATTACAGCGGTTCTGACAGACACCATCACTGTGGAAAATATCTGCACTGCTTCATACGTGGCTCTCATGTTAAGGCTGGGGGTTGAATCACAAAGGCAGCATCTAGCTGTTTTCTTCAGTTCTATAACCAGGCAATTCTCTAGCCAGATCTCAGGCTTTCAGAAGGTCTCTAAGGGTAGAAACAGACAGTAGCTCAAATTCAGAGCAAATAAGACCTCCTTACCCTTTGTACCACATGACAGGAAAATCAGTGGCACAATAAAGATAGTAATAGACTCTGGCACTTTATTGCAGTGGATGTCTATTACCTTGTGGCGCTTTCCCCGCTCAGCCAATTCTGTGCCGCTTTCCATGCTGCCCCAGACTCCGGCAGCCCTGTGAGCCTGGCTGGGTTGGGGAACACCCAGCATTCCCCACTGCCTCAGACCCACAGGGTTGGCCGAGTGAGGAAGCACTTCCCCCCTGCCCTAGACATACAGCATGCGTCTGGGGCGGTGAGGAACTCGCATCATCCCTTATCCCACACCAAGGGCGGGACAATGAGTAAAGCATGTTTCATCCAGGGAAGCAGATCAGCAATGCTGCGAGACATCTTGGCACAGCTGAAGCACTCCATTCGGCAATGTCTGTTTCTAGCCTAAGTTACCCATTTATTTATTTATTTTACCCATTCAAAGAGGGCCATAGCAGGTCCCATAACCTCACGCTGTGCCATCGCCCCATATAAGAAACACTGACAAGGACGAAAGGCAATTTTCCCCACCTCCCCTTGGAATATTAGAACTTTCCTCTTGGACTCGACCAGCACATACTGCTGCTCACAGTATATTTTAACAGCATCTGGATCCGTTGCTTACATTCTTAGATCTTTATTAGAAAGTTTTGGCTTTATTTTTTAAAAAGCTGACAAGTTGAATGTTATAGTGCCAAGAGCTTCAACTCTATGTTATTGGACTTAATTACAGAACCAGTAGACGTGCCACTTGTTTTTGTCTGTGTACAACACTATCAAAGCAGACTGAACTGAGCACCAACAAGTGTTCTCCTGGTCATCTGGCTATTGTGAGGTCTGAGAGGAGGAATTAATTAATACCTCTCTGCCGCTCGATCTGCTGGTTTGGGTGGGGAGGTGCAAAGCCTCTGCTTTCCTTGCTCCAGTCAGGAGGGTGCTTGGCTATTCTCAGCAGTCTCCACAGGCAGAGTGCTATATGCAAGAAATTATTCAGTGCAGCTCAAGGGCTGAAAATAGCAGTTTCTTGTTGGTCTTTCCCTCTGAAATTGGGAGACCAGAGGCCTGAAGTGCTCTGGGCAGGAGGGCACAAGTGAGGGCCATAGATACGGTATGTATGGTCCTGAAGTGCTCCAAGCTGGAACAGAATTTGGAGCATTTAAAGTATACATCTCAATATACATCTCACCAGGTCCTGTGAAAAGACTTAAAAATCAGCATTTCTTGTTCAGTATCTAATTTCTGACACTGCTCTACAGTCTTTTAAAGGGGAAAAAAATCTGCATTTTTTTTGTTTCAGTTGCAGCTTAACATGCTGTAGTCCTGCCTCTAGTATGTAATTAGGGAAACAATCCTCTTATGATTTAGCTGACCAAAGGAAATTAGCAAATTGTAGTGTACAGCTCAGCAGTCCCAATGAGAAGATATTTTACGTGGTTATATGAAAGCAGGGTAGCAGGAGTAATGTGGTTGTGTGTAAAGGTATGAATAAAACTTGGTGCACAAGATACTTACAGGCAGGGTAAACAGAAAAAGTTATTAATAAAGAATGATTTGAGTTACTTTTCAGTTCTTTTTAAAAGTTGGCCAAAATTCTTTAGGTTTCAGTTTAGAGGTTCAACTGTCTAACATGAGTAGCTCACACTGCAGTATTATTGTAAAGCCAGGGCACTTTCTCCCTTAAAGTGACATGTGAGAGTACTATTGTTTGAGGAGGAATACTGCTCTGGGAGAAGATCCTTCTGAATAATATACTGAGGTAATAAGAATATTTTGACCTAGGCACCTTGAGTAGCTCATACCCCCAAGAAAAGCAGTGTGTTCCTTTATACAATTTCTTTCCTTTCTGTTCCAATAAATAATTTCCTCTAATGTAGAGACCTCTTTATAGTTTCTAGGGTCAGAAGGGATCTGAACAGATCGAGTCCAACCCCCTGCCCTGGGCAGGAATGAGTCCTGGGAGCATAATGCCCCAGCCAGATATCTATCCAACCTCCTCTTGAAGTCCCCCAAGGTAGGGGAGAGCACCCTACCAGAGCCTGGCAGCCCTGTTTGTTTCTACTATACTCTTAACATGAAGCCCAGAGAAGCTTTGGGCTATCAAAAGGTGTGTTCCCTGGCTTTTTGCTATAGGTAAACATCATGGTGCTCCCTTGATGCTTTTAGGGATTCAGCAAGGGACAGATAATGGAGTCAGGCACTGAGAGGGGTAGCTGTCAGTAAAAGGTCCGGCTGGGAGATGGAGGAGATACTGTCAAGTAGTGGGGGGGCAGGACACACCAGGAGTTGTAGTCTTCAGAAGTCCTGATCAAAACTTCACTCAACAACATATAACCTACCTTTTCACAGCAACCTGCAGTGCCTGCCCAAAGCCACTAGAAATGAGCCTCTATGTATTTGGTCCTAGTCAGGTTTTTAAAGGATGCATATTGCTTGCACTGAGTGGGTGCCTGCATCTTTTTGTAAGTAGGCAAAATGTGTTCAGGGGTTAAAGCTGGGTCCTCCCTGCTCCCAACTGAAAATGGTTACAAGATTAATGGTCTGGGGGTGGGGTGGGGGGGATTCCCCCTTAGTCTCCTGTAACACTCTTGAAACAAATTCTTGCTCTGGGTCCATCTTTGTTTTCAAAAACTTCCTGAAAGCAACCTGATCAGCAATGCATTTCAGCTTTCTGGAGCACAGGGACATTTTTTCTGCAGAACACTTGATGGTGCTTCTGTTGATGACTCCTTGGAATGAGGTTTTGGGACAAGTTTTGATTGTTGCTAAAGTACCACATATGTTTCAAGTCTTAAATAACAGTGCGATCCTTTACATTAATTATAGTGCTGTAGAGGTTTGTTCTGTTGTAGCCATGGCATAGGCCCCAATTATGTGTGTGCTGTCTGCTCTTTGGCTCTTCTGCATGACAGTGTGGAACATGCACAGAGGGAGCAGATAATTTGAAATTGAATAGTACATTTTCACATAGGGGCATGGAGAGACAGGGGAGGAAACTTTACAGCACCATCTATGTACTTCCTCTGTTATGCCTCAGGAATGTCAAAGGCATTTGTGATGAAAAGGTCAGTTGAATGAACACTTCTATTGCTGCATTTGATTGGAGGGGTGTTCAAATGATTCTCATGACTACTGTTAATAAATGTTCAGTGCCCCTTTGAGGTAAGTACGGCACTGAGGAGTTGAAGTGCTGACTGTGACATTCAGCACCTCAACGAAGTTGAAGATAGGATCCAGTAATTCTGGCTGCCAGGCCCACAGTGTAGCTATTAAACAACATTGTGTTTAACCTCTATGGCCCCGTTCTTCCTTGGCTTAGATTGCTAGTTGCACTCTAGGAGACTTTTTCACTAGAAATATGACTCCCATTATCCTGAATACTGTCACAAGCCTCTGATTCAGAAATAGTTGTCCTGTTCTTTCCAAACCTTTAACTATTAGGGACAATAACTTATTTTAATCCCTGTTTTATAAATAAGTAAAAAGATAAAATAAAAGCATACTGCTTTGTTGCTTGAAGTAACCTTTACTGCTGTGCAATGAAACTTACAGTTGCATTAAGAGAAATAAATCACTTAATTTAGAACTACCTTGTTACCATCCATGTAGGATTTGGAAAAAATGGACAAATGTATTGGTGCAATAGGAGAACCAGAAATCTGTTTAGGAGGAACAACTTTTTTTTTTATGAAGTTAGAGCTGAACCTCTTCTATCTTATTTCATTTTTAGAATCCTGTTCCCAGAGGCTGATCGTTTGAAAAAAACTGAACAGCTGATGCTGACAGCAGATGTGGACCCTACTCTGCAGCCAGCTCAACTCTCTATGTTACATTTTAAAAACCTGTGTGATGCATATAGGAAAATGTGTGATGAAGACTCAAGTCTTTTTGCTTACAATTACAGAGATGAACTAAGGGAAAAGCTGAGGTCCAAAAGAAACAGACATTTAAAACAAATGGAAGAGGAAGTTGAGCTATAACAATTTTAGTAAAGCAGGCAACCTTTGTTTATTCAGTGTAGTTTACAACTGTTGTTTTAGTAGACTGAAGACCTGTACGTGTGCCTGCATACAGACATACCCATTGACACCAGAGTTTTGCGGAAAGACTGAAAAAAAAAAAAAGTACCCATTTTCTTAGTTACTCCATTTGGTCCTACAGAAAGAATCGATGTGCATTGTAAGTACAGGGCCCTTACTTGGTTTGGGGCTGCAGCTGCCTGCCTCCATACTCTACCTAAACATTTAGGTCTCAGTTTAGCAAAGAGCTTAACCTTAATTTAGATCTAAATTGTCCTATTGACGTCAGTGAGACAATTCACGTACCTAAAGCTAGGAACATGCTTGGCTACCTGGCTCAGTAGACCTGTCTCAGACTTTTTAAGAATGAAAAGTGAAAGCCCTTAAATATGCTTCTTATGATTTCAGTTTAACAAACTGGAAGTGATGATCCATTTAAAATAGGATTTTCCAGGGTGAAGACTATGCAAGGAAACTTTGCTGCCTCAAAAGTAAAAAAGAGAAGCAAAAACTTTGTGCTCTGCTGACTGGCTCAAAGTGCACGGATTACTTTGGTGCAAGTAAAAAGAGCATTAGCAGTCTCTAAGCCCAAGAGCTCATGGTTTTAAAACTCCAGTAGGAAAAGACAGAAAAATAAAAGGCAAGAACCATTACTAAATATAATACTCATTTTCCTTTACTGTACAAGTCAGTAGAGAAAATAAAAATACAATCAAATAAGAGATTACAGTACAAGCTTGGTTTTTATATTTACATATGTATATATTTATATTTTTATATATTTAAAGTATAAACAGCATTTTGCAACTTACAAAAATGAAACATTTGCACAATTGTGCACTAAAACATGAAAATAATTTAATCCTGCTTTAAATAAAGCAAATTAAAACTGCTGAAAGAAAATGCCCAAAAAATTTAAAAAGTTGTTTTGACATTTTTTTTTATTCCTATAAAACAGAACTCACCCTCCCATTTTCCATACATTTTCCCACATAATTTAAAATAATTAGAAATGTTTCCTGTAAGGATGCTACGTAATTTTATTATCTGCTCAAAAGGGATAAACTTATTTATAGACTCTGGCCAACTTAATCTAGGTTTTCTGATCCACAATAAATTAAAATAACTTAAGAATCCTTTACAACTGCTTTTATGGAAATGTATTAGTGCATAAATAAAAAATAGCTTTTCAGCAATTTCCATGTAATAACTAGTTTTAAAGCAAAACAAGTTAAATTTATTTGGCCTTAAAATTAACTTTTTAAACCATATTATACTCAGCTAGCTAAGATTTTCCATGCTTTTCCTCTGTTTCATAAAAACAGTCCTCATTAACTACAGAAGTTAAACTCTGGACACTAAATTCCCTCTCTAAAATAGAGTTGAGATCCAAACTTCCATTATCAGAATGACCGTCAAGAGACTGATGACGTTCTTGCATTGCCAGTAAAGTTCCCTTACCACGTTTTGTGCTGTTCACCTTTCGTTTAATTGGACAGAAATGTCCACGCACCAGCTTTGGATGCTCCCCCATTTTATAACCATTCCCAGCCTCGTTTTCACTGGGCTGCTCTTGCTCTGTGTCATCACTGGGCCCCTCAGAAATATTTAGCCTCTGAAACTGTATTTCAATGTCCTTAGTAGGACTGCCGTTTTTGAGGCTCTGATCATAGTCATCATCGTCGTCACTGAGAATATCGGATTCCTTGACAAGGCTGTTTGAAAAATCTGATGCGCAGCTCGGCAAATGCTTCACAGGAGATGAATTCTTAGATTCCTGTATGCTTTCTGTGGTATGGCAACTGCTACTCTGAGTACTGCTACTCAGACTGCATTCATCAGAATCCAGTAAGTTTCCTTTCCCTAGATCACTGTTCCACTCATTACTGGGTGAATTCTTCAGTGCCTTTAAGGATCTTGTGGAAGCTGCAAATACAAGAGACTGGTCTGTCTTCTGCATTTAAAAAGTCATGAAATAAAGGAATTATACAGCATTTCTCAGTAGCAAAATCATAAGTGTTTGTTTTCTGATTCTTACTATGCACTTAGTCCTGTTCAGTCTGCGAAATGTATCATCTTTGAGATCAGTCTCCCATTATGGGCATTCTGATCTCTGATTTCTTAGTGCTCTACATACCACAAGGTTATCAAGTTGCCTCCTTATATAGAAAAACCTTCAGAAAGATGTATGACTTACATAAATTTGCAGGACAGCAAACCTAAACTTTAAAGTAGGGCTGCCTTGCAGATCTGATGTGTTGTAGGGCCAAATTAACATCAGGTTTTGCTTCCCGTGATACCAGGAAAAAATGCAAACACAACTGCCTCTAGTACTGGCAACTCTATGGGCCAGCTTAGCTAGACAGCCGTGCTCCAGAAGAAGGCCTGTACTTAACTAGAAAATTCTGCTACGCTACAGAATCAATGCATGAAATGCAACAAGATCTTTCCATTGTACCTCACATTCATCTGTTTTGTCACTCGTGCTTTGGATGCTGGTGATAGAGGGAAATCACTTTCACGCAAACTGATAAAATGACAGATACAGGGTCTAAGCAATCAAGGCTTATACAGAGGTGCTGTCTTTTATTAGCCCAACAAGATTTTTGTAGAAAATTTTTACAGGGTCTAGATTTCCTAATCCAGCAAATGGATTCTTACCCAATTTGGCAGAAACAGGCACACGGTTCTTGAGAGGAACTAGGCAATCCTTGCAAGCTTTCTCCAGCGAAGACTCGCATTTTATACGACGTCTGAAGTTCTCCCGCAAAATGGAACGGATCACCTTCACAATGTTAGTCTTGCTTTCACAGTCACTGCAGAGATTAAGCAAAAAGCAATGGCTCCAGATTTCAAGTCAATGGAACTTTTTGTCCTCCCCCCATCCCAATACGGTCAGAGGCTGCCTCCTCCTTTCTGCTGCACATAGGTGCCATTATCTTTTTGATCTCATGCTTTTCCTAATACGATCTTTACATTTTCCTGGGGTTTCTCCATGATTTATTCTTGCATTTTTGAAAAGTCATTTTTCTTTTTGAAATGAAGCCCAAATCTTTTACAAGAGCCCATGCTTAAAGGTGCTAAAGGACAACCCCATGAATTCACCAACATAATTATAATTCTGATTGACCTTTATAAGACAATTTGTAATAAGCAGTCAATTTTGGTAGACCCTTGGTTATTTCAGACCAAGCCAGATTTATTCTGATTTTTTTTATCTACCTGCTGAGTATTAAACTCCATCCACCTAAACAGTGGCTCAATGCCTGAATTTGAGAAGAAAACAGTATTAGAAGGTTTGAGAGACAGGAAGACAGATGGCCACCTGAATACAATGTTCTCACTTTTTTCATTCTGTTACTGTAACTTTTCAAAAATAATTGTCATGTCAAGTTTACCTGCTGCACAACTGGAAAATTGTTTCAGGTCTGCCTTCTATTTCTGACTTCGTATGAATCAATTCCCAGATGCAGTTGTTTTCTGTTCCTGTGTGTGGAAAGACATTTTATTTTTGTATGAAAATTTCATGGAGCCTGCAAGTTGCATAGAAAGTGCAACAGAGCTCTCAGCATCACACAGGATAACATTCATAGGAATTTGCAGATTGACATTAAGATGAGCTGGGAACCAGAGTAAGATTTTCACTTTTGCCTTTAAGAACTCAACTTCTCTTCCAGAACTAATATTCTTATCAGTACCTTTCACAACCTTGAAGTTTAGCCTTTCTGCCCTACAGGTTCTGATCATTAAGATTCCTCTCACCAGAAGGACAGAAACTTTTATCTTGAATCCCCAGTGGCAATAATTTTTACAAGGAATCATCTGGACAGGCTTCACCTTTCTCTGGGCTTTATTTCCCCTCCTGAACAACCTTGAGCTCATCACGTTATCCAGTTAAGCTCCATTATGTAAACTCAGGTACTTGTGAGATTATGTAGATCTAATATCTAAAGGTACTCCCCATATAAGGACTCTTGTCACTTTATGGCACCCATCATCAGTAACTCACAATCTTTAATGTACCCTAATGAAACTCATAGATGGAAAACCTGAAAGCTAGGTACAGCAAGAGATTTAGTGCTTAACTGCAGTTTTAGATGCTTAAGTCCAAAACGTAGTTCCCTTTAGCCTGCTCAGCTGTTGCCTGAATCTAGAAGTGCCTAATTTTCTGCCCAACCATGTGCACAACCATGCATGTCCCGACAGAAATGAGCCATTCATTGTCTATACTCTGGAGTGATGTACACACTAGTTCTGTTGTCTTGGGTGCAGGCCATGATCTGGTATGCATGTTCAAAAAGGCCTACTGGACTAGGCAGCCTTTGCACACAAGCACATTATTCAGAAGGAGCTGGTAGTACAACTCTACCTCCCCCTCTCTTATGCCACTAGTCCAGGAATTATAGCATTCACTTGGGATGTGGGAAGCCAGGGTTCAATCTCTGCCTAATTAAAAGTAGGGATTTAAACCCTGTTTCTCATCTCACAGAGAAGTGCCCTAACAACTGGCTATAAAGTATTCTGAGGGACATACCAGTCAGTCTCTCTTGGTAAAGGTGTTCCACTTTGCATAAGTATTTAAATGTTTGAGCAAAGACTCTCACATCTACATGAGTGTCCTAAACACTAGGCCATAAAGTCAGTCTGTCACTTTGTTTGGCTTAAGGGATATCTATTTGCTTAAAGTGGAGTATTTAACGTGGGGGGAAGTGGGCATTCTAGCAGGGAGGAATAGGCTGCAATTGGACCTAGACAGGTTACAGGGGTGGGTCAATGAGAACAGGATGGATTTCAACACTGACAAGTGCAAGGTGATGCACCTGGGGAGGAAGAGCCAGCAGCATACCTACAGGCTGGGGAACTCCCTTCTTGTCAGTGCAGAGGCAGAAAAGGATCTTGGAGTCATCATTGATGCCAAAATGAACATGGGCCAGCAGTGTGGGGATGCAGTCAGGAAGGCCAACCGCACCTTGCCATGCATCTACAGATACATCTCAAGCAGGGCCAGGAAGGTGATCCTCCCCCTCTATGCGACACTGGTCAGGCTGCAGTTGGAGTACTGCATCCAGTTCTGGGCGCCACACTTCAGGAGGGATGTGGACATCATGGAGAGGATCCAGAGGAGGGCCACTCGCATGATCGGGGGCAGCAGGGCAGGCCCTACAAAGAGGCTACGGGACCTGAACCTGTTCAGCCTCCACAAGAGAAGGCTGAGGGGGGACCTAGTGGCCATTTACAAACTAGTCAGAGGGGACCAGCAGGCATTGGGGGAGTCCCTGTTCCCCCAAGCACTACCAGGAGTGACTAGAAATAATGGTCACAAGCTGGCAGGGGGCAGATTTAGGCTAGATATCAGGAGGCGCTACTTCACTGTCAGGGCGGCTAGGATCTGGAACCAACTTCCAAGAGAAGTGGTGCTGGCCCCTACCCTGGGGGTCTTTAAGAGGAGGCTAGATGAACACCTTGCTGGGGTCGTTTGACCCCAGTACTGTTTCCTGCCATGGCAGGGGTCAGACTTGATGATCTGCTCAGGTCCCTTCTGACCCTACTAACCATGAAACATGAGAGATGCCCATTTCCAAATAGCCCTTCAGGGCACTTTAGTGGGGAAAAAAAGACATTTAGAAATCCCCGCTCCAAATCAAGCATGGAAAACCTTTAAATTTGGGTCTCAACTTCCCAAACGAGAGTCCCAGATATAGGTCTACTGGATGGATTCAAAGTTGGGGTGGGAGAGAGGAGGAGGAAGGGGACAGCTGGCTGTGTTTTATACGAGAAAAAAATGTTCTGTCTTATTTTCTTAATGTTCTGCACTTCATTTCAGGAGAACATGTACTTGAATCCTTTGAATCCCAAGTGAAGAGAGGTGCTTAAATCTGACACAATGGGTCCTCCCCTTGGCTTTTCCTATGCCTGTTATTGAAGTAGCTCCATGTTGTTTTGAAGATATTTAGATGCCTAGTCTGATCATGAGTTTTGGCAGGCCCCACAACTTCCTTAGACAAACTTTTGTTTCTGAGGGTTTAAGCAGGGATTCATTTTGCCTTGACCAGAAGATTGGACTAGATGACCTCTGAGATCCCCTCCAGCCCTGTTTTTCTATAATTCTGCTGGCTATCTTAGATGGCTTCCCTACCCAGGTGGCTGGTTTTTATAGATCCTGTTCTTAGGCACATAATTTTCCCCATGTATTGGGCTCTGAATTCCACTAGGTGGCAGAACCACTAAGATTATTTAACTATGGTAATGCTGGGCTTCCATCATTTAGTGGATCTAGCTCTAAGCATCAGATATTCATACTTAGCCACCTGACCTCCACTGAAATTAATGGGGGTTGGGGGTTAGAGGTGCCTAAATACTTTTGAATATGTAAAACCTAAGTGACTGGATCATGGTCAAAGTCCGGCAGAGCCGAAAATGGAACCCAAATTTCTAACTATAATCCTAACAACTCCTGTTGTGTAGTGTCCAGTGACCTCTATACAAACTCACTGAAAGCTGTGGGGTGCCACAGGTAGTCAAAAAGGGCATAATTTGGCCCAGGTTACAACCTTGTTACTTGGTTGACTGAAGCAGGCTCTTTAGATTTTACCCTCAACCTTTTGTTGTGGGCTTTCTGTTCTGCCACTTGTTAAATCCTAACTTCTAGTTGCAGCTATAGTGTGCACAACCTTAAAAAGCACAGCAACTTTCTCTTTGTAAGGCAAGCTTCAGGTTCATTCACACTTCCTGCTGCTTAGTGTCAAATATTTGGAATTTTTGCTTTATTATTATTATTAGGGATATAAATGGAATGTGTAAAACCAAAAGATTACATGGAAAATATCTATTAGAGTATCAACACTATGCCCCTGGAAAGTTCAGACTGTACTGTGTATATATAGTTGATGTTGCATTGCTCATCGTAGGTAGAAATGCCTGCTTATTTGTAAGACCTCAGGAAGCAACATATGGAACTAAAGAATATTGAAGAGCACCAAAAATCTATTTATTCCCGAAGTATTCGGTGATATATAATTACCTGCTGTATTCCCCAGTCGGACCTGAAGAGCAGATAAAGGAATCAGCCAACGAAATTTAAATGGATCCAAGTCACTGTAATTATGTGCAGCCCGAGCATTAGTAGGCTACAAAACAAAAAATAAACACCAGACTTCTTTAAAAAAGCGACTGCAACATTACACCTGCACAGTGTAAGTTCTGAACAGAATGAACTTTTGTGCAAGAGCCCACTTCTCAAGGAAAAGTGAATCTTAACAGGTCTTGCTCTTTCAATAACCTAATGCTGTTGTTTTCAATTTGGCTGTAAAATAACGAAGGGCAGAACCTTTGGAATTCTAGCAAAATTTAGATTAAAAAATTAACTTTAAAAAAATCACTGTACCCAATAAATGAGTAATACATAAACATCTTATTTCTCCATGACAACAACTAATAGGAAACATGCTCAGTGTGAACAAAGCAATATAACAGTTGACTGAACAGGTTGATGCAACCACCATTCCATTTCACAGGCAAAGTTTTATCTTTTCTGATAAATAATACACTAGTGCTCCATATCATGTCTTCTTTCCTATATTAGTTTGGCTGAGTATTAGTTTCTGCCAGTCATGTTGAGACCATTCCCTTGTTTGTTTCCCTGCAACTTCCTGGAGATAGGAACTTGGTGATATCTCAGGTATTTATAGCATTTAGTATATGATACGTAGCTTAAATATTTCAGTCACATAAGTGATGATGTGCTTACGTGCTATGTTTCCTTCCAATGTGATCCACATACTACATGGATCACTAGCTAGAATTACTTATCACACTGCACATGATTCAGCAGAACAACTTGTTGCAACACCTAGACACTTTTATAGTCTAGATCAGATAATGGCAACTTCACTGTTGGTGAGAACAAGCTAAATTGAAGCTCAGCGTGATACACATGAAGCTAGTGGCCGGCAACCTTTTTAAGTCACAGGCTGGAACAATCCAGCTCCGGTCCAACAATCCAGGGGACATCTACAGTCAGCAATAGGGGGCTTTCCCTGCACCTGTGCCCCAGACCATGCAGCTGGGAGCTGCATTTGTGCTGCTGAATATTTTCCCAGTCCCCTGCACCGTTCACCAGCTGGGGCATGGCTGCAGCTTTCAGCCAGTGAGGAGCTGCGCTGGGACCAGGCAGCTGGAAGCGGTGGGGAAAAGAAGAAAGGGAGAAGCAGCAGCAGTGTGGACGCAGCTTCCAGCTGCCTGGCCCTGGCACAGTTTCCCACAGGCTGGAAGTTGTGTCTATGCCCCAGCCGAAGGGTGGGTTTGGTTCGGGGTGGCACGGGGAAGACAGAAACAGCAGAGGCAGCAAGGGCACAGCTGGAAGTTGCCCAGCCCTGGAACAGCTCCTCACTGCTTAGCCACCTCACAGGCATAGGCAAAGCCCTTGGGCTCTGCAGGCCAGTTCCAGTAGCCTGAAGGATCCAGCCTGAAGGATGTACGCTGCCAACCCTTGCATTAAGCCAACAATTTTTACTATTATCAGTTTTCTTTCAATACTGACATTCAGTTTTGCATCCTCATAGCAAGCCTATACTCAGATCACTACTGTTGAATTGACACTAAAGTCAAACTTACCAATTTCTTTTTCAGTTTGCAGTTCTCTTTATAAACTAGTATGACAGCCCTCTTAAAAACTGAAAAAGGAAAAGAAAAGCCAGTGATTACAGGTGTAGTACTGTTGCCTATTCACATTTATTTCCAGTGATCCACAGTTCAGAGGTCTAGTCCCCACAAAAAGTACAGTCCCATAGCAAATGTTCAACTACATAATTCAAGTTTCCCTTAGTCATATAGACACTTACTTATAAGGAGTTTGGGATGAAAGAAAGGCTTGGAAAATAGCTCCATCTTAAGATTGCAGAACTGGGTCTTAAATTTGTGCATCTAACCAACATTTCTTAGAAACATTTTTTGTGAAAGGAAAGGCATGCTGCCAAGTTCCTATAGGAAAATGGAAGGTGTTGCAGAGAAAAGATGCTTCTGAGAGATGTTGGCAAGCCTCCTGGTTGACAAAGTTTAGCATTTAATTTGAAACATGACAAACTCCAGAGCTCTAAGAATTTCCTGCTTATTTGCGTGAAATACCAAATACCATTATGGCTCCCATTAATATCATACAAGTGTTTCACAATCTCTGAAATATTTAGCATAAACGCTGCTCTAAGTGAGGCAGGGAAATACTTTATTTCATGGGGAACTGAGGTACAGAGATCATGAGACACCCAGGGTCACCCAGGAAGGCTAAGTTTCCCACGTTCATGGGCAGAGCTAGAATTTTGAAAATGGGGGTGCAGATTATGCGATGCATCATCACATGTAACAAAACACATCTTACACCAGGTTAAAAAAAATAGAAGTCTAGGGCTCTGGGGCCACATTACTCAGTTTAAGATCAAAGCAAAAACAAATATAAATTTATTTGAATGTGCATCACTTTGCTATATCATATATTATACATTAAAATATAGCATGCTAGGCAAAAATACTCAAAAGATGTTGTTTCTTTAGTCCTGTAGTCTTTAGAATTAAATGTACATGTCCTTCAGATTCATAAAATAAAATCTAGCATCTTGACAGTGCATCCAATGCTTCACTGAAAGTTACTTCCACATCTGAGTTAAATGTTGACCTGAGTTAGTGTTTCCTCACCTACATTAATGTACCTAAAATTAAAAACAACCTCCAGGACTGTAAAATAGGAGCTACATTACCAGGAGCAGCTAAGCAGAATTGCAGAAGAAAGGGCTAGCTTGATTAGCTTAAGACAGGGACGGGCAAAATACGGCCCACAGGCCACGTCCAGTCCATCAAACAATTTCATGTGGCCCATGAGCACCCACCAACTAAATTGTACCCTGCCCAGTCCACATGTCTCACTCCCACCCTCATGTGTGGAAGCCAGCATGCAGCTCAGCCAACACACAGTTTCTGAGCAGGGCTGTTGCTGCCAGTGCTGCAGGCACCAGGGGACCCAATTGGCCTCCCCAGCGTCCAGTGTCTTCTCCTCATCTTCCTGCTGCAGCATTTGCTCCAGGCAACAGGGATTTGGAGGGGGCGGGGGCAGGGCTGGGGCTGGCAGGAATGCAGAGCTCAGGTAGGCAGGGTATGAGTGTAAGGGAGGATAGGGAGTGTGGGAACACCCCCCCACACTCCTCCCCATGGCACACAGTTCCCACCACCAACACCAACAGCAGCAGCAGGTGGCGAGCGCTCAGGGCACTTGTGGCCTGTACAAGCACTGCCACATGGCAGCACATGGCTCCAACCAACACTGCATGTAGTAGCCAGGTTAGCTCACCTCTATTGCACGGAGATCTCTGCAACTCATGTGCAGCTCCTGGCACTCATGTGCCACCAGGGAAGCCCCACGTGATGCAGCTGGCTCCCTTCCCCACCCCCTGCCATGCAGGTCCAGGGACTGTACCAGAAGTGGAGGGGAGCCCCACCTCCTGATTCCCCATAGAGTCTCAGGACCTGCACAGAAGGGGACCTGGAAGGCAGCCGGCTCCAACTCACGGGGCTTTCCCCTCTGGCGCACAAGTGCTGGGAGCTGCATGTGAATTGCGGGAAGCCCTGCGTGATAGAGGCGGGCCAGCCTGGCTGCACTCTTCACCACCACGTGCAGTGCTGGCTGGAGCTACACGCTGCCAAGTGGCAGTACCTGCACAGGACACAAGTGCCGACCACATGTTGCTTGTCGCTAGCAGCAGAGGCTGTGTACCTCTGGAGAGAGTGTTTGGGGGGTCCCCATGTCTCCCCACCCTCCCTCTCAGCCCACACCCACACCCTACCACCCCCCACATATACATCCCCAACATATCCTATGCCCCCACACAACCTCACCCCCTCACAAGCCCCCATATACCCCCCACTACTCTCCACCCAGCCCCCACCCACAATATATAAGAGTAGGGCTTGTTTTGAGCTATTATTCAATCAGCCCTATATACACTATGCAAACAAATGACAAAAATATTTCTGTAGTAAAATTAAAATACGTTATAGTAGGTGTTTGACTTTTAGTGCGATTTGGGTTTTTTCTCTGGTTCCAAGATGGCTACGCCCACCCCCCCCCACACACACATACCCAAGAGTACTTCCAGGGCAAAGGGAGGGACTTCTGGTGGAAAGGTCAGTGGTTGGGGAGGGAGGGGACAAAGTCTGGTTCTAAGATGGTGACCAGGGAGCAGGGCACCTGTCAAGGGGCGAGGCTACCCTTGCAGCCCTTGACAGCTCACCAATACTCATTAAGCAGATCTCCAGCCAAAATAATTGCCCACCCCCAGTATAACACTAAGTCCATTACAAAAGGAGAGAGTGGCGTTAACACCTATGGAACAAAGAATGTAGAAGGGATCAGGTAACACATCATGAAGTCAAATGATTCCCTCACTGCAGCCTGAATAGAAATGCTGCTGCCACTGCCAGGCAGTTGGTTTTAAACATTGTGTGGCCTGTGAATAAAACAAGGGTATGAATGCACTGCTGCCCTGTGCCTGGATCCACCCCTACCCATGACTTTTGTGGACTTGCCCATGGTACATGACAGTTTAGGAAGACAGCCTTCTTTTGAAAGAGCCAATAAACAGTGCATCACAACACATTATTATACCTACTGATAGCTGTGGTTCATAGTTTCATAGTTTCTAGGGTCGGAAGGGACCTGAGTAGATCATCTAGTCCG